GACTGTTAAACAATATTTTACCCCTTTGCTGACACGTCATGCTTCCGGGTTCCCCTCCCCTGAGCTCAATTATAAGCCAACCAGTTTAAGGTTTGGGAAACTAACTTTTTAGTCTGAAGGATGCATCTGAGAGGAGTGTCCTATAGTGTGGAGACACAATTACTCATCTGTGAAGAGAGGACCAAGGGAGAAAAAGAAGGCATTTTTTTCAAAGGAGCCTTAGGACTCAGGATGCAGCAGTAAGGGGCCAAACTGAAGACGAATGGCTACTCATCTAGAAAGAGGGGAGCAAGGCATCCCTGGTTCCTTTCTCTTCCTAGCAAATGCCTGCGGTATGAGAAAGAGAAGGAAAAAGCTTCCCCTTTCCTTCTTTCACCCTTATATCCCTGAGTCCTGGTGACCATGACAGGGTGCCACCAGTGGGTATCAATGTGGCTTTCACTCATGTTAACAGGACAGCCTAGGGTGTGGAATTACCTACAGTTCCCCCACACACTGCCTTTCCCCTGCTATAAGTAGCCTTTGAGTTCCCTAAAACTCATTGATGCCATGGATACTTGCATGACCTCAATCCATGAAGCAGAGGTTTGGCTTAATCTGCAGGAATTAGTTACGCTTATCTGTGGTGTGTGCCTTTTAACTACCATTGTTTTCTGCTTTGGATCCCTGAGATCCAGTTTTCTTTCCTAGGGCTTCAACCCAAAGCTTAGAGTTGAATTTGGACAAAAGAATTACCTCCCTATCATAAGCCAGATGTTCAGGTGAAGCTCTAAAATTGGGTCCTCTCAAACAAGGGAGGTAAAACGGTGTCTTGTGAATTGGAGTCCTGACCTAATAAAACAGCCTTCAAGAAAAATCCTCTGGCACTGAGAAGCCCCCTGTACTCACAGGGGTGTGTTATTAGGTTGTTGCAAAAGCAATTGTGGTCCCCTCCAATCTTGGTAATAGCAAAAACTGCAGCTACCTTCACACCAATACATTAACTCCTGATCTGGTGGACAGAAGAAAAAAACCAAAAGAACACCAAAAATCCAGTTTCAGCATAGGGCAGTGAAATGCCAGGGGAAGAAACCTCTTCTTTTTATGCAAATGGCTTTCTCCAACAGGGAGAGAAACTTTTCATTGCTGTCCACTGAGCTGGACCTCATGGCCAGGGGAGGGGAAGTAGATGGATGTATGGATGTGTGCCAGGGAACACTCGCCAGCTGGCTGCACACCTCAAGATTGCCCTGGGGCCCAGGCAGCACCTGTGGCTCAGTCCCACCCTGAATGGCTTTTGGAGGCTGAATGTACATGCAGCAGTCACAACCATGTGCTCCAGCAGGGAGTGATCAGGGGGTGGGGGCAGAGAGCCACTGCTTGCCTGTTTTCCTTATGTGACAGCTGTTGGGGTTGGGGGTGGAACACCCTTGATATTGTAAAAAAAAAAAAAAAAGATTGGTAACATTACAGTCCTGAAAAAAAGAAGAAAAATGCCGTAGCAAAGACTGGGTTAGACTGTGGCCAGCATTCCCAAACCTGAAAGCAATGGAGGGGATGCAGTTTCCTCTGCCTTCAGAAAAAGGCTGAGGACTGGAAGGCCCAGAAATGAAAGTGAAAGAGATTTGGGGTTCACCTTTTACTCACCCTTCCTCATGGCCCCATATAGGCTACAAAATGATGCAGGAATTTTTGCTCCTTAGTTCAGCGAAATCCGGGTACTTGTCGCACCACCAGGAAATATTAAGCATGTGGACACATTGTAGGGTGAAGAGGGTGGAATTTATTAAGAGAAAAGGAAGCTCTTGGCAAAGAGAGGAGCACTGCATGCAGGTTTCCACCTCGCAAGTTGAATACCAGGCCACCATGCATGAGCTGAAGAAGCCAGGATTCTCCCCGACTTAAGGGATGAATTTCCGGTGGCTCCACCCCATTTTTCCAGTGTACACGTGGGCCCTTAGTCGGAGCCACTCCACACTGATTTCTTTCTCTTACTGAGCATGTGTGAAGGGACAGAATTTTTCACCATGGGCATGTTTAGACAGGCCTCCTGTGCATAATAACCTGGGCAGATATGAGGCGCTTTCGAATCTTCCCTTATCTGACTAGATATTTGTCCGTGTCCTGCCTCCATCATTAGATATTAATGTTCGTTTTTCCTTTTGGTTGGCTATTTTTCTAGCTTTCATCATTAAATTGCAGGTGGCGATTTTAATGAGCTTCTATATGGGTTCTGAAAGGTTGTATAAAGGGCACACGCTTAGGATTTGGCAGATTTTTCCTTTAAAAGAGCAGATAAATTCCTTGTCCCGTATCAGTCAGGTGGTGAGTGGAGGTATTGGAATTTTAAATACAATTGTTTTATTCTGGACTCTTTTGTGTTTGTTTGTTTCTCATGTTACCAAGTTAAAATCTTGGCGTGAAAGAGCTGTTTTAAGGTACAATTATGTTCCAAAAGCAGATCCAGAGAAAAGCTTTCAGCAATTTCTAGTCCTTTGCTTCTTCTAGAAGTTCACACTTTTTTTTTTTTTTACCAGCTTTTAAAACAGCAACAAGGACAACAAGGAACCATGCATGTCTTGTTAAATGCATATGAAAACACGTGAAGTGATGTGGCTTTGAGGCTTCTTCTTCAAATATTACTTGGAATGACGAATTTTTAAAACGGAGATTCTTTACACAAAAATTTAATTACCTACAGTGCTTACTATGTGCCAGATGTCATTTTGATGCTTTAAAAATAGTAAATAATACGTTTCTCCTAACAAATCAAGAAGTAGCTACTATTATTCTCATTTTATAGATGAAGAATAATAATTTAAGGCACGAAAAGCTTAAATTGTTCATAGCCACACAGCTTGTGTTGGCTTCAAGAGTTGATCCAGGTAGTCTGACTTCAAAGACTGTGCTGCCTATCGTCTGTTATATTGCTATACAAAATGCTGACTATGGAAGACCTAGGAACAGAAGGAAGTTAACATAAGTAACTTTGCTTCTAACCACCATGATTATGAATATTTTCATCCCACTGATTTCCTGCAACTTCGCAATAAAATCAACTCCTGGTTCCTCACGGGCCTTCATACAAGTTGATCATTAGCTATCCATGTGGGTCACTCACCCAAATGCATGTGGAACACTTGACTTTACTAGGCTGTCTCTAAGGGGCATTCTTAGTAAGAATATGTGCTCCTGTTTAAAGAAACTTTATTTGGATCCAGTGTCTGACTGTTGGCCTAATTGCCATGTCTTGAAATGTTGGCTGCATTCCTTGTAGCGAATTGCTTTTTTGGAAGGACTTCTCCTATGTGAGGCTATTCTTAACACGTTTTATATTATTCGGAGTTTTCAGTTATGTAGTTCACACTGCTAGTAGAATTGACAATATTCTGTGGTGATGGTGGTGATTTATTTAATATGGAAGAAAATGAAGTCTTTTTACTGCCACCAAAATAAATATCTGAGGTGTTCTTGAATGAATCAATAAGCAAAATGAACCTAAATTAAAAAATTAGATTAAGGTACAGGCAGAGTCTTGGAACTATTAATAAATAAAGTTTGGGTTTCATTGTTTTATTACCTGAAATTACATTAAGTAAAAAAAGCAAACATCATACGCAAACTTAATTGGCACATGATCAAATCTGTAAAACATTACTGTCTCTCATGATTTTCCTGAATAGCGTATTTAATTTTAGGTTTGTCACAAATAACACGATAGTAAATGTGGTCATGCTCCATATATTTCCCCCAGTATTATTACATAGGAAGAACAAACTTTCTATTCCAAAATTAATTTTATTCTTACCTGCCAGGAATTTGAGAAAAAAAAAAAAAAAAAAAAAAAAAAAAAACAAAAAACCAAGAGCATCAGCCACCCAAATTTCCTCCTTGCTCTATTTTTAGTTGCATCTCAGCACATTAAACTGGGTGAAAATATTGCCCTTCAAGAGCTCCTTATAAGGCTCATCCCTTGCGCTCTCTTGATCTGACGTATGTGGCTTTATTCCAGCCACCTGTCTGTAGGTCTTCCAGTCCTTTCAAATGCCCTGCTGGATAGAACCCAAGACCACTCCACTGGCCTTCTTCTCCGTGTGGTCTACATCTGTTTCCCAGAAAATACTCAGGCACCATTGTTCTCGCAGTCACAAGGAGTTTTGGCTAACTTAAAATAGTACCATTTTCTTGCCTTTGTCCCCAGAGTACCCATATGCTTGTCCTCAGTTTCCCTGGCAGGAGTCAGTTTCTGGCCTACTGTCTTCATCTGCAAGGAGAAACCAAGTTCTTCACTGTGGCTCCTGTGAAACGCACTAATTAAGTGTAAGGTTGGAAGTTGTCTTCCATCACAATTTCCCCTAATGGGTATGGAGATCCTCAACACCACCACAGTTCTCTCCATATAATCATTTATATAGTTCTACAGTGAGTATCAGAGTAAGATCTTAAAATATGTTTCTTTGGAAAGCATGCATATGAAGTTTTAGAAGGTTGTATCAATTGAGCTTGACATTTAGTTGAAATGTTAAGGTTAATCTCTTTTTACATTGTCAAAAGCAGTAATCACCATTAGTGACAAGCAAAAAAGATGGAAAATTCCTTTCTCTCTGAGTGCCTGCTGTGTGCATGTGTATGACTCTGTATTGGCTCGTTCACATTGATAGCCTGATTTAATCACTGCGACAAATATGTGGGGTGGGATTATTATTCCCAATTTAGTGAGGAGGAAACAACATTTCCAAGAATAAAATTTTCAAGGCATTACAGATACTGTGGAAATAGCAATATCTAACTAGAAAGTTCTTTCTCTTCCTGCTGTATCATCACAGGTAAGAGGTACATATCCCATTGCCCATGTTAGGCCAGGACGGCCCATCGTATTTCTCAAATAGGCACCTTCCTTTTGCTAAACTTGGATATAAAAATTGTTTGAGGTAATTTCTTCTTTTAACAATTTTTAACACAGCACAGAATTTTATTACTTGGTTGGATCTTAAAAGATATGTTTAAATTTTTTTTTCCAGACAATAGATTTTGAAGGTTTCAAACTTTTCATGAAGACATTCCTGGAAGCCGAGCCTCCCGATGATTTCACTGCACACCTTTTCATGTCATTTAGCAACAAGTTTCCTCATTCTAGTCCAATGGTAAAAAGTAAGCCTGCTCTTCTATCCGGCGGTAAGTATGCTTACTTTAAACATTTATATGTAGTAAAAATCTCAAAGGCTAAATAGGTTTCATAAAAGATAAATGATGATTTGCATAAAAATTGTTTTGTTGCAGGATTTAGACATTTATAATAAGATTGTGGAAATCATTAAAAATGTTTCCAGTATAATTATAGCTAATTAGAAAAAATATGTCTTTGTCACTTGCTTTAGATTTCTATGTTTAGGTAATAATTTGAAGAAATATTTTCATCAAATATAAAGACCTGCTCTTTTTAAATAACTAGGTAAGTATAGATTGCTGAGTATTTGAAAATGTGGTCACAAAGCAACTGTAAAAAACGTATAATATTTAATATGTATTGTACTAATTGCCAATATACTTTCACATGTTTAGATTTGTAAGCTGGGAAGAGAGATTTGGTTTTTTTAGATACCTTAAATTTGTGTCACCATAGAAATGGTGGTTCTCTCTTGATGGGTAGCTTTTTAGAGATACATAATTACATTAATACCTGTTGCATTAATCTCCCTCCAGTCAGGAAAACAGCAGTTTCACTATATTACCCTAAAGAATGTAAAACAGGAAATTGGTTAAACTGTTTTAGATGATTGAAAGGGCAAAAAGAGAACACAGGTGATGTAGATAGACCCCAGGAAACCTGCGCTGCCCCTAGATGGCAGTAATCAAAACCCAGAAGCCCTGAGGAAGGATTTCTTGAAGCCGGGGTGCAGTTCTGAGGTGAGGGGGTTGCCGGTGGACCTCGCCCTTGGCCTTCGGTGGAAATGATAGTTCCTGGCCGCCTTGGTAACTCAGGAATTCAAGAAGGGTCTGTAGCCCAGGAACTCAGACCTCTGAGGAGGGTGCATCACCATGGCCTGTCCCAAATTGCTTAGCGGAGGGCTCATTGTGCCTTTGTCGGCGGGCAGACTAGATCCTGCACTAGACAGCATGCTACCTGCCTGAAACGCTGCAGAGATTCAACAGGAGGAACAGGTTCTTTGGTGGAACCAGACCCTTCCTCCCGCCCCTGCTCCCCTGCGCACCAGGCCACTGCCCCAACCCCCTTGTCTTCTTGTCTCTCTCTAGTGCCCTCTATGAATGGATCAGGAATCCTCTGGCAATGAAGAAATGCCTACAGCAGTGTTTCTCACTAGCTGATCACAGGACACTTTGAACTCTTAATAAAAATTGAAGACCTGAAGAAACTTATTTTTATGTGGATAATATCTATTGATTACCCAATAGATATCACCATATTGATATAGATATCACCATATTTAATTTTTATTTATATTTCACATTTAATATGGTGATATCTCTTGATTACCCAGTAGATATCACCGTATTAAAGGTGAAACATTCCAAAAATAATCAACCCACTACCTGTTAACAAAAGATAACTAATTCTTATGAAAAGTAACTATTTTCAAAAATGAAAAAAAAATTGAAGGGTAGCAATGTTTTGCATGATTGCAAATCTCTTTAGTGCCTGACTTCATGGAAGACAGCTAGGTAATTATGTCCGCTGCTGTTTCTTTTGCTGTATCGTATGTCATATAGCCTCTTGAAAACGTCACTGTACACTCTAAAGAGAATGAGAGTAAGAAAAGCAACTGATAATATGACTATGGAAATTATTTTGACCTTAAAAATCTCCTGCAAGGGGTTCAGGGATCCCAGGAAAGCCATAGGTCTAGAGAGACCCAGCTGTAGCATCACAAGTAGAATATAGAAGTGTTGGTTAATATGTCCGGAGCGGTGGCTCACATCTGTAATCCCAGCACTTCAGGAGGCCACGGTGGGCAAATCACGAGGTCACGAGGTCAGGAGTCTGAGAGTAGCCTGGCCAACATGGTGAAACCCGGTCTCTTCTAAAAATACCAAAAAAAGTTAGCTGGGCATGGTGGCAGGTGCCTGTAGTCCTAGCTACTCGGGAGGCTGAGACAGGAGAATCACTTGAACCCAGGAGACAGAGGTTGCAGTGAGCCATGATCACGCCACTGCACTCTAGCCTGGGCAGCAGAGTAAACTCCATAAACTCCATCACACACACACACACACACACACACACACACACGAAGTATTGCTAAAGAGAGAAATTCAATAGCAGACATTCTGATAAATAAAAATGCAAGAACAGGTAATTAAGAAATAGGTGGTTAAGCCATAAATAAAACTTAGACAATATGAAGAAGAATTAAAAGTATTTAGCCTTCCCCGCTTCCTTTTTTTTTTTTTTTTTTTTTTTTTTTGAGACAGAGTCTCAATCTATTGCCCAGGCTGGAGTGCAGTGGCTTAATCTTGGCTCACTGCAACCTCCACCTACTGGGTTGAAGGGATCCTCCTGCCCCAGCCTCCCGAGTAGTTAGAACTACAGGTGCGTGCCAACATGCCTGGCCAATTTTTGTATTATTAGTAGAGACAGGGTTTTGCAATGTCAACCAGGCTGGTCTCAAACTCTTGGCCTTAAGTGATCTACCTGCTTTGGCCTCCCAAAGTGCTGAGATTACAGGCATGAGCCATGGTGCCTGGCCTTCCCTTCTATTAATAATATAACATATCTTTTCTAATGTAATCACGTGTTGGTAGAAGCTTTTTTAAAACAAGTGTACATATTTCACAAGTTCACGTATTCCACACATTCCTTCAAGGTGTGTGATGACTAATATGTTTGTCATCGTTTTTCTCGTCTTATAAAATATTTTTAGTTTTTGAAATAATTATCTTTCAATCATGAGTTGAGAGGCCTCACCACACTTGCTGTTTTTCTCAGGATGAGTTTCAGTGGATTTGTTCTTAATGAGTAGTATTCCAGTTTAACAGTGTTTTGAGCTGAACATTTAAAAATTACTCAATTCCTTACTTTAATCTAGAAATTAAAACTTTCCTGTTGTCTGCTGCATGCTATAAATTTATCACACATACCTTAAATTGAATTAAATAAGAAAGATGTCCTGTATTTAATTCTACATCATGCGATACTGTTCTTGAATTTTGAGAAAGAAGAGAAAATATTTCTGGATGATATTGTCTGTAAATAACTGTATCACACACAGAAGAAAGAGAACAATTCTGATAATTAAGGTGGTTTTGTAGGAAATTCAAACCCAAAACTTCCATTTCTTCTAATAGCATATATTAAGTACTGAATATAAGATGCCAGACTTGCTAGGGGTAAAAATCAAATCATGTTTCAAAATGTAAAAAATAAAATAAGGAAAAACAGATTGTACTTGATTTGGGACAATTATACATTCTACACAGACATAAAAGGATTATGGGCTGTGTAAATCTCATGCAGCAATGATAAATTAAACTCTGATTCATTTTCAAAGCTTGGCCTCCACTTCTTAAAACTAAGGACATTATAGCCCGGGCACGGTGGCTCAAGCCTGTAATCCCAGCACTTTGGGAGGCCGAGGCGGGTGGATCACGAGGTTGAGAGATCGAGACCATCCCGGTCAACATGGTGAAACCCCTTCTCTACTAAAAATACAAAAAATTAGCTGGGCATGGTGGCTCGTGCCTGTAATCCCAGCTACTCAGGAGGCTGAGGCAGGAGAATTGCCTGAACCCAGGAGGTGGAGGTTGCGGTGAGCCGAGATCGCGCCAATGCACTCCAGCCTGGGTAACAAGAGCGAAACTCCGTCTCAAAAAAAAAAAAAAAAAAAACTAAGGACATTTTGTCTTCTCCAGGACTATTTCTAACCCTGTACTTCTTTCAGACCCACCTTTGATAGTTTTTTTTTTTTCCCCTGAGAAATAAGAAACAATAGAAAACAATAAAATTTTCAAGACTGAGGTAGGTTTGACTCAGAAGCTGACAAAAGAAATGTCTTTCAATTCATAGAATCTTGCCTTGCAGTAATCTGTTATTTAATGTATAACAACGTATTTTTGTAGCTGAAAAGTCACAGCCTTTTGCCGGGCACAGTGGCTCATGCCTGTAATCCCGGCACTCTGGGAGGCCTAGGTGGGTGGACCACCTGAGGTCAGGAGTTCAAGACCAGTCTGGCCAACATGGTGAAACCTGTCTCTATGAAAAATGCAAAAATTAGCTGGGTGTGGTGGTGCACACCTGTAATCCCAGCTGCTTGGGAGGCTGAGGTAGGAGAATTGCTCTACCCTGGGAGGCAGAGGTTGCAGTGAGCCAAGATCATGCCACTGCACTCCAGCCTTGGACAGAGTGAGACTCTGTCTCAAAAATAATAAATAAATAAATAAAAATAAAATAAAATAAAAAAAATCCCAGACTTTTGAACAGATAGGGGCTATACTCTGCTTTATTTATCCTGTTAGAGTTCACCCTATTTCATTACCACAATACCAGCAGGAATAGAGTAGCTATTCTTTTACTCTAGATAGCAATGAAAAAATAAGGGCTTTTCAATTAAAAAAAAAACAAAACTGAAAAGGAAAAAAAATGTTATGCTCACTAATGAATGATAATTATAGGATATATGGTCAAAGTAAAACTTTTAGTTTTATAGAATACAAAGTTAAAAATAATTATAAACAGGTATAAAGGTTGTATGTGTGTATACATGTGCATATGTATACCTGGGTTTTGTTGATTATAATGTGTAATGATCTATTTGGCATTTCACAAAGTGGATGATTAATTTTTATAAAATAATTTGTTGTAATATAATTGCTTCTTATCACCTATTTTAAAATAAGATCACTTCTTCTACTGTTGCCACATTTGACTTTTTATTTTTGAAGATATCCCTAATGTATTATCTCTTCAGCTTTTTCATAACACTTTTGCGTCATTGTAAATGTCAGGTCTCTAATCTCTCATCTCTGCCTGTTCAATGACCAATTTCTGATCTTGCTTTCATCCTTAGTGTCTGCCACTTGAATTACCTTCTTTATACACTTTGTAAATCAGTTGGAATCTTTCTTCTGCTGCAACATGATTGCAGAAAGATGGCTGAGGCTCACAGCCTCAACCATGAATCAAAATTGTGATCTCCTATGTCAGTCCCTACAACTTGAACACT